TAGAACTCATGCATCTCACTCCAGAGAGCAACAGCCTAACCACAGTCTCAGTAACACTCCTTTGCTGCTGCTGCTGCTGCTGCTGCTTCTTCTTCTTCTTCTTCTTCTTCTTCTTCTTCTTCTTCTTCTTCTTCTTCTTCTTCTTCTTCTTCCCCTGCCCATAGCAGATGTTGAGCTACAGTACCAATTATCAAGATATGATAATATAATATTACACAACACAAGACAGAAGGGGGGAAAGCCATAACTCAGGAATAAAGGATTCACTTTGCATGCAAAAGGTTCTAGGTACAATCATCTGCATCTCCAAGATATTCATCAGAAAACCTGGAGAGTTGTTGTCTGTGCAGACAGTCCTGAGATCTGTGAACCAATGGGCTTGTATAACATGACAAAGCTTCCTAGGTAGGCACTGTATACATAGATATTTTAACTTTCAAACAAGACAACTACTTGAGGCAACATTGAAAGTTCAGATGGCTAGCACCCTCTTTCTCTATGACATGTTCTGCCTTGCTTCTCCATATTATGCTTCTTGTCTGGCTGTAATACATCTGTTTTGCAATCCTTGCTCGGTTCCAGACAGTGTGATTCATCTTTTATTTTGGTTACCTGAATACGAGCTACGATGGGTATGTTAATGGCAGGTGGCAAAATTTGGTGTACTATTACATTCCTGTTCATAAGACTAATATGCATCAGTTATGGCCAAAACCACTCCATAGCAGTGATTCCCAAACTGTGTTGTGGGGCACACAAGCATGCTGTGGGAGGAGCTGAAGTGAGCCTTAGAAAATTAAGTTGTCATACTGGATACACCCACCACGTTGTGCCCACAGAGCAGGGAGATCCTGGAAGCATTGATACAGCCTGTGCTACAACTGACAGATCCAGGGGGATTTCAGGAGCTTCACTACTGCTCAGAAAGCCCTGAGTCATAATTGACTGGGTGAAGGGGAGACAAAATTCTGGGAGACAATATTAATTGGACTATCATAAAGTTTCAAGGGCAATGCTTGCCTGTCTGCCTATTCTGGGAACCGACGAAGAAAATGTATAAATGTAAAGTGTGCCTACGGTTTTGGGCCAGAAAAAAAGCTGGGCTCCAAAACTTAAAGGTGAAACAATATATCGTTTTTCTACATCTTATTATATAGTGCACTCAGCTATACAGCTGCAAATAAAATGTTTTAAGTGTGTTGTAAAGTGCATTATACAAATGCGGCACTAGATGGCGATGGTGAGCTATGGCAAATGCAATATATTTTTCAAAACTTTTTAAAAAAATAATAACAATTCCACAACGTTTTTTTAATATGTGTGTAGATTCCACCAGGGTCTATATTACTTTGTTGTGCACATCCCAGTTCTTTGAGCTGTGCGAGACCAGCACTGGTTCTCTTTCGAAGAAGTAATGACTGAAAACTTAATGTGTTTCTGTAATATAAAAGGTAAAGGTAAAGGTACCCCTGCCCGAAGGCCAGTCGTGACCGACTCTAGGGTTGCACGCTCATCTCACTCAAGAGGCCGGGAGCCGGCACTGTCCGAAGACACATCCGGGTCACGTGGCCAGCGTGACGAAGCTGCATCTGGCGGGCCAGCGCCAGCGCCGCACACGAAAACGGCGTTTACCTTCCCGCGGTCCCTATTTATCTACTTGCACTTAGGAGTGCTTTCGAACTGCTAGGTTGACAGGAGCTGGGACCGAACGACTGGAGCTCACCCCGCCACGGGGATTCGAACTGCCGACCTTACGATCGGCAAGTCCTAGGCACTGAGGTTTTACCCACAGCACCACCCGCGTCCCATTCTGTAATATAGGAATATTTTAAATATCCTCTAACAGCAGCACTCCTATCCGCATCAGATGCCCAGAGAGAGGCACTCCTACATCCCCAGATGCTATGGTTCCTCTCTGCCACTTTCTACATCTCCCTCCCTCCACATGTCAAATTTTCAAAAACACGTGCCTCTGCCTCTTTAGCACACCCCAGAGTGGTCTTTATATCAAGAAACAACCTTCTAACACTTTGCTCCAATTGGAAAAATATATCTCCTGACTGCACAGGGGTATTAACATTCTTTTGACTCTGGCCAGGTATTGTTTAAAGGCAGGGATGGGGCACCTTTTTCAAACCATGGGCCACGTTTCCTTTTGGGCAGCCTTCTGGGAGCCACAAGCTGGTGTTGGGTAGCACCCAGGATGAAAGTGGGCAGGGCAACAAATATGATTCCCACCCCCACCCCTTTGTACAGTAGGTGTAGACTCAGGGCAGTGGTTTATGAGGGGCTGTGCCAGCCTGACAGAGGCCCAAACCATAAACCATAATTATCATGGCTTGTGCACATGTGCTTCATGTCCTTTCTATGGGGGAATAGAATTGTGGCCCCTAACTTTAAGAAATGCAGTATTCCTCCCTTATATGCAGCAGAAAGCAGTGGGGACTGGGATTTCGATTGGAATGACAGGAAGCTAGAAGGTACTGTGGTACACAGGGCCACAAAATTTATTGTGGACATTTGGATAAGGGTAGACGAAGTGTGACAAAATGAAAACTAGCTTTTAATATAATATAGGAAGAAGTGTCTAGGAGCTATATTTAAGTATTATAGAGGAAGGTTTGGGAAATATTGGTGCACTAGATACATTAAGCGTTTTGTTATAGTTTTACTCAAGAATTCCGAATTCCAGGAGCCCCTTGGATGGCACATTTATTTCACTCAAGTGAATCATATCATAATAGGCAATTTTTGTGGTGTTGTTGGCCCAGTGAGGGAGGGATTATGTATTTGGCAATATGGAGGCAAATCACGAGCTCTTTCTTGTGGCGCTGACCTTCGCGAGCAGGGAAACTTTACTATGATGAAATAGGTAATCTCTCAAAAACAAAATTCCAGGAGAGGATTGGAACTGGGGATTAAACATCAGAACAAATATTCTGTGTTATGGCAGTTAAAAGCCCTCCAGAGAAGTTATTTGGATAGATTGAGGACACTCAGCTGGAAAGTCATAGCTGGATTCACAAGGATACATAACTTTGTTGACTGTTCTGAGGCGGCTGTATGTTTCTTTTTCAGACCTAATTTTTATACTTTATCTAAGGCCTCATCTGAGGATTAAAAGATACAAATGTTACATTTCAGAGGGATTTCCTGTTGTTGTTAAATAGTTTGTGTATCGTAATTTTATTATATATTTATGCACATATTATTGCAATACAAATCTTCACTGAGCAAGTTATTACACTCAGGGGATTCGGGATAATTGTTTTTAATTACCCATCAAATATTTTAAAATGCAAGAGATATTGTCATGCTTCTTTTTTTGCTGCTGATGCTTAGGAATAGTTTGTGTCAGTTATTACCCTTTTTCTTTTTCTTTCCAGAACTTGCTCACTAGTAGGGCAATGTCTGAGGGCAAACTACACTTCAGACTAAACATGTTAACTTGGAGCGAGTCAGGGTCTGGGTTTTTCATTTTTGTTAGGTGGGTGGGATTTTCATTGGCTTTGCAGCACATATTGAGGATAGGTTTAATCCTTCTCCCTTGCAGCCATGATACCAGTGAAAAACCCCTAACCTTTTGCTGCTATTAAGATTTAGGACAGGGGTAGGGAAACTAAGGCCCGGGGGCCGGATGCAGCCCAATCACCTTCTCAATCCGGCCTGCGGACGGTCCGGGAATCAGCGTGTTTTTACATGAGTAGAATGTGTCCTTTTATTTAAAATGCATCTCTGGGTTATTTGTGGGGCATAGGAATGCGTTCATCCCCTCCCCCAAATATAGTCTGGCCCCCCCACAAGGACTGAGGGACAGTGAACCGACCCCTTGCTGAAAAAGTTAGTTGACCCCTGATTTAGAAAGAAAGCTCCCAATGGCATCAAGATGGGCCTAAATGTAATATCTAACTGTCCCTGTTGATTTCCAGTCAGTATGCTCCACTCTGTCTCTCTGTCAGGATGAATCTGCCACTCAATCTGGTTCTGAGCCACGGCTGTTGCCTCCTCTGTCGCCTAAGTCACAGAAATGCCAGCGCAGGCACAAACAGATAACTCAGGTCCAGTGATCCCGAAGGATTTCCCATTTGCGAACTCAGTCCCAGTGACAACCCTGCTTGGGACATTGAAGTTGGGCTTCCCTTGATTCCATATAATGGGACCCAAGAGAGCATGTTGCTATTTGGATCAATGTCTTAGCTTGCCTAGCCATACATGGCACCCATCATGCCTTTGAACTCCATTTTGCCTCCGCACTGTACTGATTTGAGCATTGAAGTTTTGGGCAGAAACTGTACTCCAAATTCAAGTTCCTCGTGCTTCCTGAGAGCCACGACACAGACAACCTGAGTTCTTGCTTAGTTGGCTGATGGGTTCCTATTCTCCTTTCTTATGGTTCTTTATGTTAAAACCAGACTTGTGCAGTGCAGTCCTTAAAATAGAGGATGCCTTCATGAAAGTTCACCTTCCCAGGCCATTCCGGTTATGCATGGGCACTCTGTGTGCTAGTATTCACTTGTAACAAAGACAATTTATTTTTCATTATAGCAAAAGAGAGCATTCAAATATTTCCAATATTTTTGACAGCTGGGTACTATTGACGCTGGTATATGTTCTGAGAAACAGTGCGCTATTACTCTCTTTGCCTAGTTTTGGTTCTGGTCAAGTTTTTCTTAATATTAATCCAGTGGCTTGGATCCTAACTACCTTCTCTGTAGAGAGCATCACCCCCTGAAAATCTGTTTCAGGGAATTGGGGGACTTTTAGAAATGGTTTCAGTATAGTGCAGAATAATGCCTTTGGAGGGAGGAATGGTGGGTAATTTCTCATCTGAATGAAGGTACAACATAGGGTCCTTGCCAGTTGGTTTCAAAATGAAAACAGCGTCAAGTGTGAGAGATGTACTACCCGGTTTCAAACTCATATAGTTAAAAACAGATTCTCCGAGACTTTTCTGAGTTCTAACACATATTTTGTATGGTTTTTGTTTCGTTTCACTGCAGTTCAACTGAAGAACAGTTTCACTGGCAAACACAAGGTAAATTATAATTTTGTAGAAAGCTGTGTTGAACTTTTCTTTCATGGAGAGCGACTATTTTCAGGTGCTTTGCCCTAACTGTGCTTTTGTTATGGAAATACTGCAGCCAAGCTGCAAATATTTTATAATTGGGATAATGTTATACTTCTCCCAGACAGTATTTCCATAATCTTATAGAAACAGTATAAATTATTGCTGAACAAGTATGTCAGTTAACAACTTGGTATGTTTCTCTATTCCCAGAGCATCAGTTACTCACAGAACCCTCTGAGTCATAAATCAAACCAAGTAGGAAGTTACCAATTGTTTACTTCCCAACACCCACCCTGAACAGATTTTCATAAATCAAGCATGAAGTGATTTGTTAAAATTAAAGTATTAAAAATATAGAAAAAAATGTCAAAGCAACTTTATACACATAATAAACTAGGAATAAGAGAGATTAACATCATAAAATAAAAAAAAGATACACGAGTTTATCCATTAAGGTTACTGGCAACCTTCCGCAGCCTGGTGTCCTCTAGATCTTTTGGACTACAATACCCATCAGACCCAGATAGCATGGCGAATGGTGTGGGATTATGGGAGTTGTAGTCCAAAACATCTGGAAGGCATCAGTTTAGGAGGTTTGTGTCCCTTAATGACAATAAACTGAACTACAGATCAGTATGACATTCTCCCAGTCTGTTGATTCTTCTTACGAAGTTGTTCACCTATTTAGGCCACAATACTTACATCCTGTTTTATGGCACTGAGAAACTTTCAGAGCTGTTGTTTATAGTTACCAAGGCACAGCTGGCGTCATTGGCACCCCAAAGGGGCCATCATTTTGTTAATTCAAAAATTTAGTTTCCCCCCCTCAAAAAAAACAACCAAACACACTATTTGACTGTTCCCTGGCCCATTCCTATAATGGAAACGACTGCAAATTAAGGATTCAGCATTTTCAATACGATTTTAAATTTGGAATGTACAGTCTCCCTAACTGACCAGAATTGTTTCATTGTTTATATTTATTTATTTATTGGAGGCACGATCCTATAGCAAGATCCACCACGATTAGCGGCTTAGGATCCTGCAGATCTCTGGCTGAGCCAAGAGGTCCCTGACACAACCATAACATAAACATTGGCTTAACGTCCTCATCCTTGGTGGAGCCAGAGATACGGTAGCCTATCTCCCCCATCCTGGCTCAGCTGAGGCCCAGCTGGCTAAGTGACAAACAATGGGTGTCAAACACCACACTGGAAAAACTCATTTATTGTCCAGCTGTTATATGTGAAAAAGTATATATGCTAAAGTGCGATTTGGGGGGCGAAAGAGAAAAGATTATCATTTAGTTATTGCCTCTTGAAAAAGCACATATTGAAATAAATGGAAGAGCAAAATATTATATGACACGTAACATTCCCAGAGGAATGTTGGTCACCATCCAGCACGTAGACATTATTGGCACCAAGTCTGCCTCTTCAGTAAAAATGTAACGGTAAAGGACCCCTGGATGGTTAAGTCCAGTCAAAGACAACTCTGGGGTTGTGGCACTCATCTCACTTTCAAGGCCAAGGGAGCCAGCGTTTGTCCACAGACAGCTTTCTGGGTCATGTGGCCAGAATGACTTAACTGCTTCTGGTGCAACAGAACACCGTGACGGAAAGCAGAGCGCACGGAAACACCGTTTACCTTCCTGCCACAGCAGTACCTATTTATCTACTTGCACTGCGTGCTTTCAGATTGCTAGGTTGGCAGGCACTGGGACAGAGCAATGGGAGCTGACCCTGTTGTGGGGATTCGAACCACCGACCTTCTGATCGGCAAGCCCAAGAGGCTCAGTGGTTTCGACCACAGTGTCACTCACATCCCATTAGCCTCTTCAGTACTGGATTGTGGTCAGCAGTGTAAAGATCATTGCAGACTAGCATTACAAATACCCAATAGCTTTTGCTTAATAACCTTACCTTCACTTTCCCTGTATTTTAGATTATTTAAATGTTTAAAACAATCTTTTGTTACAGATGGTCAGAAGGATATAGAAGATGAGCTCACAACAGGTCTTGAACTTGTTGACTCCTGTATTAGATCTCTGCAAGAGTCTGGAATACTTGATCCACAGGACTATTCAACTACCGAAAGTAAGTTTCTAAAGAATGTTCCTTTCATTGTGTCCTACCCTAAATTAAAACCCAGTCTGCACAGAAAATGATATGCTTTTAGGATGAAAGGATACTGGGCCATTATGGTGTTCTTATTTTATCTTTCATTTCTGAAAACCGGCAGTATTCAGTGAGCAATTGCCTTTCTCCTACCCCACTCTATGTGTGTGTGTGTGGATAACAATCTCCAAGCTGTTTTAGAGCTGCTTTCACAATACGGATAAAACCAGCATGGGGTTATTTTATGCGCAGGTAGCCTTTGGTAGAAATGTGGAGAGATGGGGAAAACATGTAATGTTTACTAACATCAAACGTTTAGGAACCAGCTTCTGGTTTTAAAAAATATTTAGATGCTTGGCATTTTGCCTGCCTCAGAAAGTAAATTGGGCTTTCAGTATACCCTATATAGGGCTTGTAAACCTTTCTATCCCCAGGGCCCACATGAGATATCTGAGGCCTACCAGTCACAAAAGTGAGATATGGGGCAGAGCTAGTCACAAAATGGGGCAGTGTGAGGAGGCAGACTTTGGCATAATCACTGGGTGACGATTGACGTCATTTTCTACCAATATCTAATTCATATCTGGAAGTTGCACAGTTATTTGCCACAACATTTTCCTTATGATCAGGGATCTGTAGCTGAGCTTTCCTCAAGCTAAATATAGACATTTGGAACTCACAAAGTAGATTAAGATATTCTGGTTTTCCACAGAAGTAATACTTTTTGTTTAAACATGGGGAGGATTCTACATGTAATTTTTTTTATTTTTAATTGTAAGTTCAGGTATGTGTGGAATGTATATGTATAACTTAAAATGAAAGTATATGTGTATGGCTTACATTTGACTTATGAAATGCAATTTTAAAAATATTACTAACTCTTGAGATGATGTTTTTTAACTACATTTACTGCCCCATTACTTGAGGTTGATGCTGTTGTGCCAGATGGTTCATTTCATCCATGTTCTTCCATTGCCCATGGTTTATCCAAACATAATCGCTCAAATTAGTGGCTGGGAAGGAGACGTATTGTGCATTTTCAACTCACCCTGTTCAGTACAGAACTTTTCCCTTTATGCAACAGGCTGTTGTGGTACAACTACTGCAGAAAACCTTCAATCAGACAGAAAGGAGAATTTTGCATATTAGCGGGTGCACATATTTGTGTAATACATATGTTAGCTGATACACACCTTCTTGCTGAATGCAAACATTTCATTTTTATGTATATACAGAAACCCATCTGTGAAGTAGCTCTTAAAATATTGGGGGGTTTTCCCCTGCCAATAAATTTAAAGTTTGAGGAATCTTATGGATAACAAAGGACTCCTCTGGCTATTTGCATACACATGGTGAACTGATGATACAGGAAACAAGTTCTGGGGTCCAGCTCTTTCAAACTCTGCTTTAAAGTAAGAATTAAAGCTATCTTATGGGAATACGTGATCCTCTAAAGCAATAGTTATTATAACAGATGCCTGGCATATTTGATTTTAATGAAAGGAATCAGCATATGTACAATACAAAACTTTATTAAGTCATTTCAACTCGCCTCTCCGTTTAATAGAGTGCTTTCAGCAATTCCCCAGTGAATACACTCCAAAAACCATCTCTATTGTAGAATCTCTAACAAAGCAGATGTTTGCGTCTGAAAAAGCATTTGGTCTTGATTTTTATTATGTTTTTCTTCTACCTGTCGCTTCCTCTGAACGAATTAAAAAGGCTGCACAACAAAAGGCCCACATCTGCATCGTTAGATGTGTAAAAAGCCAATTCAGTCCATGTTCTCTCATTTTTTAAAAATAACCACCTGTCAGATGGTTGAAAGGGTAGAATAAGATTAAATCTGGCATCTTTTGAGCTAGCAGTCTGTTAATCAGTGAGAGTTATTTCCTTCTCATAATCCAGCAAAGGTTTCAGGGTAACCTTGTGCTGTTGATCTTGACAGACTGCTCCATGGGGATTGCTTAACACATATAATGCTCTAATTAAAGTCACATGGAATATGTCTGAGGCATTCGTTCGCCTTTGTGCATTAGTTCTTCTCTTTTGTTTTCTAAATCTTGATTACAGCGTTTCATGAGAGAGACAGAGAGAAATGTTTGGGTTCAGCCACAGTCTTTGTCTAGAAGCCCTTCCAGGCTGGTTATGGTTTCCAGCGATAGCAGGAAGGCACTCTGCAGAAGCTCAAAGACACCATTGTTGTCGTTGCTTTTATCATCATTTCATGCAGCTGAAATTGCTCCCTGAGCTAAGCACTGGTGTCCCTTGACACAAACTGTGCAGATACGCAAAATTCATCGTTGCCCAGTGGGTGCATTCCACGCCAACTTTTAAACGGCTGCTGAAAACTTTTTTATTCCACCAGGCCTCTGCAGGCAATTAAGGGTACACCCCCCACACACACACACAGTCTGTTGATTTTTGTTTTTAATTTCTTTTTGCTTTTAACTTGTTTTTAACTTTCTACTATTTTACTGTCTGGTTTTGTGTTTTTAGATTGTTATAAAATGCTGTTTCATACTGTGTGTGTGTGTGTGTGTGTGTGTGTAGGTGAGTGTGTCAACAAAGACCACTTCAAATTATCTGAACAATACACTTATCATCTATCTGGATTCCTTGGGTACAATTAAGTTTCAAGTTTGTTGGACTGACGTTCTGTTTGAGTCGCAGAAACATTATTGTGGACCCCCTGGGGTCCGCCGACCACCAGCTGGGAACCATGGATTTAGAGCATTCCTAAAGCTAAAACTGGGAGAATCATGTATAAATCTGTTTAAAGAGCTATTCAGATATATTTGTCCCTCCTTGTGATTGTCCTTGAGAGAGATCAGAAGCAGATCTTTTATCTTACACAGTCCGTTCTGCCTCTCCCCATCACCATTCCTTCAGGGAAGAGCAAATGTCCAAACTCAGAGATCCCATGTTTATTTGAGTCAATGGGAGGCAATCGCCAACAACAAAATGGGGAAGCAGGGCGTCACCGACCTTCAATTAGGGCCAGGGCCTTTTCAGTAGTGGCCCCAACTTGGTGGAACGCTCTGTCACAAGAGACTAGAGGGCCCTGCGGGACGTGACATCTTTCCACAGGGCCTGCAAGACAGAGCTGTTCTGCCTGGCCTTTGGTTTGGACTCAGTCTGACCCTTATGTTTCCCTCCCCTTATGGTTTTAATATATGGGCTACTTTTAAAATGAGGCTGCATTTTAAATTGCATTTTAACCTGTATTTTAAATTTGTATTTTCTCTCTCCCCCCCCCCCATTATGTTTTTACTATAATTTTACTGGTGTTAGCCGCCCTGAGCCCGCCTCTGGCAGGGGAGGGCGGAGTATAAATAAAAATTTATGATGGTGGTGATGATGTAAGTGTACGGATGTCTTCAGAAGATTTCCCAGTACCACCTCCATGCCCTATGTAACTCATGAGTGGCATATCAGAAAAGAGTGAAAGGAATGGCAGGCAGCCATAACAATAAATCATTCTTGAAGCTTTTCTGTAGTGAGCCAGCTCTGGAAGGGTTCCTGACAGGTGAATCATATAAGATGACTGCTCTAAACATCCTCCATGGTCTGTTTTCTTTAAAGAGACTACTTAGTAGCTTGCAAACAGGGGGGTTAAAATATAGCTCAGTCTCACACAGAGCTCCTGTAGAACTTGCCATACAGTACCTGCTTTTTGTCCCTATCTCTGGAATAAGCACAGGAAGTGCTCACATAGACAGAAAAGCCTCAGATGTGTTGGTGTGCCCTTGGGGTGTGGTGAGGAAGGAGAAGGGGCATGCAGTATAGACAGATTGGCTCAATATGGCGAGCCATTATAAATGGTTTATCCTGAATGTGCTGATTTGGGCTCTTTTGCTCCTCCTCACTATTGCATGGATAAAATAAACCACACTTAACTGGAGATTAGGGACGCGGGTGGTGCTGTGGGTTAAACCACAGAGCCTAGGGCTTGCTGATCAGAAGGTCGGCGGTTCAAATCCCCGTGACGGGGTGAGCTCCCGTTGCTCGGTCCCTGCTCCTGCCAACCTAGCAGTTCGAAAGCACATCAAAGTGCAAGTAGATAAATAGGTACTGCTCCGGCGGGAAGGTAAACGGCGTTTCCGTGCACTGCTCTGGTTTGCCACATGTTAGTCATGCTGGCCACATGACCCGGAAGCTGTACGCTGGCTCCCTTGGCCAATAAAGCGAGATGAGCGCCGCAACCCCAGAGTCAGCCACGCCTGGACCTAATGGTCAGGGGTCCCTTTGCCTTTTTAACTGGAGATTGTGTTTTTGTTTTTGCTTTCCAAGCCATGATCAAGAACAAACTTTGACTACAGAGTATAGTTAGGAATGAGACGAATGATGGTCCCTGGTTGGGACATAATGCTATGCCAGTTATGCTGATTTGCTTCCTCCATCTACTAAGAGGGAGGAGCAAAGTAGATAAGCTCACAGTAAACTATTCACACACACACATACGGACCACTTGGACTTTGTAATGTTCAGTAACGTTTTGACTAAATAAGGGTCTGTTTATGTTTTAACACTTACCTTCCATTCCCTCCCTTTTATGGTAAACAATCTCCCATTATCCCCCAACATTGCCTACAAGAATAAAGAATGACTGTGGTATTGCTGTCTTATTTAAAAGGGGGGAAAAGAAATGACATACACATTAGTTTTTAAGACACCGCTTGGAATTTGGGATACTATACGCAATGTGCATGTGAAGTTTATCTATTTTGATATATCTTCCCATTTTCAGATCAGGTTTTCTGGAAGATCTCAAGGGAAGATCTCCTCTTGCTCCTGGCATCCATTGCCAGAAACAAATGGGTAGAGCAAGAGTCCATCCATTTTCCAGGACATCAGCATGATGCATTTCACTTTAAAGGGAGCTTGCAATGAGAGTCGTCAGTTATACTTTAGCATGTTCCATATCATTTTCTTTGTATGCTGCAGTCCCATGGTTAAAACCATGCTCAAGGCAGCTTACAACATGAAAATGTTACACAGTACAAAAACACACACAGGAAACCTAGTCATAAGCAACAAATAAAACACCAAAAAAGTACACAACCAAATGGAACAATTTCCACGTAAATCATAACAAAGATACAAAATAAAGATAGCAAAACAAGCCTGGCCCAAGCAATACCCCAGCAGTAAAACAGCTCTGTTGAAAAGCAGCTAGCTGGGCTGTATTGTATTTGTGTGTCTTCTTCCACTGTCTTTTTCTTTTTCTTCTTCTATACCTTTCTGCCCCTATCAATTCCCCCCCCAATCATTTAAAAGAACAGAAATATTTGCATGAACATGTATAATGAAACATAAATATACATATTGAAATGCAATGAAACATATAGCATGCATGCACACGCACGCGCGCACACACACACACACACAGGAGGAACCATGTACCAGTCAAGTAAATAACATGGAGTGTTCAGATATGCTACAAGCTTCAGCAGATTATTGTGTAATTAGGCTTAGTAAATCTAAAAGTAATTACTGCATAAGAAGCAGTGTAATTTAGAGGACCAAATTAATCGTGCATTTATCTGGTAATGATATGGTATCATGTAAATAACCTGACATTACATTGTCATTACCATCTGAGTAAAAAGCCTGGCTTTTATATATATATATATATAAAACGAACAGAAAAGGAAGAAAGGATAAACCTTACCATAATCGAGATAAAAAATAATATCTACAATGAGGAGAAGAAGAAAATAGGGGAAAATAATTCTGGGGTACTGAGCTTCACTCCTCAGACGAAGTTAACAGTTGAACCCATTTTCTCAAGGGCAGAATAAAAGGAGGAGGTAGTTAATAAAAACACTAATAAATAATAATGCTTGGCATTTCTATAGCACCTCAGAGGATTCCGATATTTTCATGAACATTATCTCAGTAACAGTTAGCTAAATTCATGTTTGGATTCTCAGATTCCAGATGGGCTAAGGGTAATATGGCTTGCCTAAAAGCATCTGATGAGTTCGCGGCATAGACAACATTTGAATCAAGGACTTTGTAGTCCATTTCTGGGCCTCTACGGTACACTAGTTCTTGAGATCTCACTCAGAATGCTGTGGTTTGGTGATCCAGCAAAGAATGTGGCATGATTTTCCATGCTAACAGAATTTTTGGCAATTGAGATGGAGGATTAAGTCATACGAAAAACCTTGCTAGATCATACTGATTGTTCATGTAGCCCACCCAGCCCTCCATCTCTGACATTGGTTTGTTGGTCAGGGATTATGGGAGTTGCAGTTCAAAATATCTAGGCTGAGGAAGGCTGGCATGAAGGGTTTACGAAACTACAAAAGTAAAATGCAACGTGGGAATGTGTGGAAACTGCGGTGTGAATGCAGCCATAATGTGCATTTTCCTACCCTCATTCCACACCATTGGCTGCTAGGGGTGTGATGGTGTCAGAAAAGAGGGGAAGCAGAATGCAATCAAATGTAAGTGTGGAATAGAGCAGGAGGGAAAACTTGATACTGGGCTGCCTGCTACAGTACTTTCAGCAACAGCCTCCTATTCCTTACAGTGCTCCGTTTTGCCCTGCCCTGTCCTATTTCATGTCGCAAAATGAGGTTAGGTTTTTCCCCCCTCCCCCTCCATTAAGTTCAATGAAGTAACACTTTTTAGTTGCTCGACATTACTGTGCTCTTCTTGAGAAAGACAAAATAATGATGTTTAAGTAATAAGTGCCACTTTAAATTACAGGACCCGATCTTATTGCTGAAGTGACAAGCTGCAGAAAGTAGGAATCAAATGTGATAAATGCATTCTCTCTCTCCGTTGTGGTGCTCACTGACTGCTCCAAATTGCTTTCAACACAGGGCCCAACCTTCTATCCCAGAGTGCACTTCAGCTCAATTCCAAACCCGAAGGGTCTTTCCAGTATCCATCTAGCTACCATAGCAACCAGACCCTTGCCCTCGGTGATTCAGCAGCCTCACAGCTTCCAGCCCGCAGCAGTCAAGCCAGAGCTGCGATACAGAACTATAGCCAGGTATGTTTTGAGAAGGGTTCATTTATACCAGTGCCGTTTTGAAGGGCATATTCTGGTTGAAAATGAATCTCACGCACACGTGGTTTTGCTTACAGAGTTTGAGTTCATAATTTATGTCTGTGTGGAATACAGCTAATAACATCAATGCAATATTAAAGGAATAATTCAGCAGAACAATATGACAACATTTTTGTGTTTATACATTAGTTTAGGAGATGTTTATTAATGTTTAATTTTATCATGACTTATTTATGTGTGGGTTCGAATTCGTTGCTCCCGTTGCTCGGTCCCTGCTCCTCTCAACCTAGCAGTTCGAAAGCATGTCAAAGTGCAAGTAGATAAATAGGTACCACTCCGGTGGGAAGGTAAACAGCGTTTCCGTGTGCTGTTTGCCAGAAGCGGCTTAGTCATGCTGGTCACATGACCCGGAAGCTGACTGCGGACAAAAGCCAGCTCCCTCGGCCAGTAAAGCGAGATGAGCACCACAACCCCAGAGTCGTCTGCAACTGGACCTAACGGTCAGGGGTCCCTTTACCTTTACTATTCCACTTACCGTATTTTTCGCTCCATAAGACGCACTTTTTTCCTCCTAAAAAGTAAGGGGAAATGTCTGTGTGTCTTATGGAGCGAATGCACTGGGCGGCAGAGGGATCCCTCGGCTATCACTGCAGTCGCGAGCCGAGGGATGCCTCCGCAGCCGGAGCCATGGCTCCCGTCCATTGCTTGCTATGAAGCCAGCAGAGGAAGAGCCGCTGCGCAGCTATCGCTCTTGCTCTGCTGGCTTCAGTGAGAGCAATAGCTGAGCAGCTTGCTCTGCTGGCTTCTCAGTGAAGCGGGATGAGGGATGGAAGGGGCTCCGTGTAAGGGCTCCCTTCCGTTTCTCCTCCTGCTTCGCTGAAGAGGCGCTGCGCTGCTCTACTGGCTTCCCAGCAAAGAATTGTGCATTCTGTGTGCATTTTTTATAATTGACTTAGAGCACAATCCCAACACTAGATCTGCCGTGATGAGCGAGATAGAATGTGGCAGATCTCCGGCTCAGCTGGCAAGTTTGCAACCCCAGCTAAGCCAGAGATACATCAGTGTAACTTCCTCTTCCTGGCTCAGGTGGGGCTAAGCCATATCAGCCAAGACCAGCAGAATTTACACCAGTGTAAACCCTGAAAAATGGGCATTCCTGGGGAAGGGGCTGGATTGCGCAGGAGGTACACTGGCAAAAAACGGTGGTGTAACTCAAACAGTATTTTAAAGGCTTCGGCAGTAGTACTACTCCTGAACAGAGCTTGGATCTGGTGTAAATTAAAGCAGCATAAATCACACTGGCTTCCCATGTTTAGGATTGCTCCTTTAATCTCATCATGTTCCACATTCTAAGGCATCAAGTGGCATATTGCAAATTTGAATCATTGTTGCACATTGCAGACACAGTTGGGGCTTAATTGTGAAGCAGTTTCTACTGAGTTTTTTCCTTTTATTTTCATGGATTTGATGACATTATTATCAAACCTGCTGTCTGTATGGGACATGTCTATGCAGTAGCAAATTTGGAGACAATAACAAATATTTTTGGCATTCTCATGCTAGACTTTTTATTATTCATTTGTTTTGAGATACTGAGAGTTGCCTACGGGTAAGGTTGTAATTGCATAAAAAGTCTTGAGAATATCTTGGCAAAAGAAACCCACCAGCTTCAGCAATATATCCAATTTTCATTAGCCTGAGCATAATTGTGGTGATAGGTTTCATGAATTTGGCATATTTCTAGGATGCAAGGGAGCTGTAAAGAAATGTAGCCTTTGATTAACTTAACTGCTAGCCTTGCAAGTGTTACAAGTAAAACCATGGGAGGAAAGTACATATATTTCAGAAGCTTTGGCAACATTAATTCAAAAAAGAGAATCTGGAACACATGCAGCCTCCTACATTTTTCGACAATGCTAATGATAATTTAACTGTAGTCCCTAACGGGGATTTCAAAGCCCTTCACATTCCCCACCTTGCAAAATTATGGATGCTTTATGCTAATTTAATCTAAAACAAGGATGGAAACTTTTAAATGCTTTGTGTCAAAAATCAGACAAAGTCTTAGTTCTGAATTTAGTATCTGCACTCTCCTCAATACCATATCTAGGTGTTTTTGTGCACATAGGAAACCCCGACACCTCTGCGCATGCGATGGCCTTGCCCACGTGGCAGTGAGAGGGGTAAACTCCGCTCACACAGAGCTTCAGCTCACATTTGACCGAGGGCTTTCACTCTAAGATTTCTTCCTGCACCAACTGATGATGTCATGACGGGGCAGCAACGCTCACCTGACCTCCAGGCAGCTGAGTTGCTGCTGCTTATGGAGTGGGACTGGGGAGATTAGTGGAAGTGCAAACGCACCAGCAGAGCCAATCCAATGCTTCCCGTTCATTTGCACCGCACAGACCTCCCTGCCACTCCTGCTCAGTTAAACAGAAGCAACTCAGCTGCCTGGAGGCCAGGTGGTCAGCTGTCACTCCACCACTTCATCTAGGGCCGCCTCAAGACCTATCATTGCCTGTGGCAAAGGACAAGATGGCGGCCTCCCCCAAGGCACCCACGGAAGCCAAATAGACTAGCAGTTGCATCTTACTCCCTTACTACTGAAAGGACGCTATCCTCCACTGCACTTGAGGGCAGCAGGCTACCCTGCTGAATTTTACATGGCACTCAGAGCTCTGTCTTCTCCCTCCCTCTCAGCATCAGCTACCTGAGCCAGCTTTCTCATGCTGCCTCACCCTGGGGCTGGCCCTGACTTCATCCACTGCTGTCTCCCACTATCCTACAGTTTCAGTTACCGTATTTTTCGCTCTATAGGACACACCCGACCATAGGACGCACCTTGCTTTAGAGGGGGAGAACAAGAAAAAAAAATCTCCCCCTCTCTGCTCAGTGCCCCTTCAGCAAAGCGGCAGGAGAAACGGAGCCCCTTCCCTTTCTCCTCCCGCTTGGCTGAAGGGGCGCTGCGCAGCTCTCCCTCTCTGCTGAAGCCAGGAGAGTCTTGCTCTCCCAGCTTCAGCTAAAGGAACCCGAAGCCTCCAGAGCGCAGTGTTCCGGAGGGTTCAGGCGGCTATCCCTGAAGCCTTCAGAGCGCAGCGCGAGTTCCCGCTGTACTCCCGAGGCTTCGGGTTCCTTTTGCTGAAGCCAAGGAGCCTGCATTCGTTCCATAGGACGCACACACATTTCCCCTTAATTTTTGGAGGGGGAAAAGTGCGTCCTACAGAGCGAAAAATATGGTAAATAAATAAAGAATTTTTTAATGTGTTGTTCTTCGCTATAAACAGAATACTGAAAACAACATTTTTTTAAAAAAAATCAGTGTGATTTTTCTCAAAGATGCAATTTGTACATAAACCCCACTTTGTTGTTTGGTTAGGCAGCAGTCTGGCAGGGCTATGGGCACATGTCTGCCTCCAGGGTGTCTCTTTAGCATTTACTGCAGGCACTCACATATCCAAATAAGCAAGCTGATTTCAAAGGGAAAAGCAGCTTGCCTATTCAGCCATGCAGAAAGTTGCAGGAGGAACCTCAAAGACATTTCCAGCTGTGTACTTGGTTTTCTCCTACCCTTGAACCCTCCTACCCTTTTGTAAGAATTGCAGCCTTCTTACCTTGTTGCACATGCTGAATAGGAACCCCAGCAGTTGCAACAATAAAAACCCCCCTGCTCTGAACAGGAAGTACTCTTAATTTTATGTATGTTAAAAGCAATATTCCCACAAGCAAAGTCATCATTGTGCTTTCTTTATATCATTGCTCTTTTGCATAAGATCTAACATATATATTTTTCAAAAGATTATTGCAATCTTGGGACGACGTTACATAGCATTTGGGTAAGGACTCCTTCAGATGAATGGACTTACTTTTAAACTCACAATGACACTTTATAAAAAGCACAGTAGATCTGAACATTATTTTACATTTTATACAAAGCACAGTAGATCTAAACATTTTACAGCAGCTGCACTATAAAGCGACGTAACAGTGTTCAGTCCATTCATTAGTGTAAATGGGAGGAACCTACAGTTCATGATAGAACACAAAATAAAGCACAAACCATGGCTATTATGCTTGTGGGGATGTTCCTCCTTCCTGCGTCTCAACCGAGGAAGACTAGATATGAATTTATCACTGGTGCATGGTCTCTGTAGCTCCTTGTGGAACGTTCTGTTATTGAAGTCAGTTTGAACAGAGACAGTCCCAGGAAGGTACAGGAGCTCATAGAATTCAATGTACTGTACAAAGCCTGCATATTTAGAAAGATCTGTATTTTAAAAAGAGCCTGTCTAGTCCAGCTTCCTGTTTTACATTGGCCACCCAGATGCATTCCCGGAAAGCAGAGCATGGCAGTAACAAGATCAGTATCCCCTCCCCTGGCAGCTGTTATTTGGTGGCCTCTGAATGAGTTTGTTCAACTGCCATTCAAAGCTATCCGAGTGGCCACTGCCATACCCTGTAGCAGTGAGTTCCAGAAACTATGTGAAGAAATGCCTTTTCTTTTTTCTGTGCAGAATCTACCCCCCACAAATTTTATTTGCGACAACCCTGAGTTCTAACATTACGAGAGGGAGAAAAATGCCTTAGCAGCATGTCCCGTTAGCTTCTTCTTCTTTACTCAGTTATTTACATGTTCCCAGCACTTGATTTTAGTTGCTTTTTTCTGTACATTTCCCAGCTCTACCATTTTTAAATTTTTTATTTAAATGGAGCAACCACAGTTCTTACACACTGTATTCCAAGAATGGTTGCACCATAGATTTGTATTAAGATATTATGATGCTGTTCGTTTTATCTTCAGTCCCTTTCCTAATAATTACTACCTGGGTGTTTGCTTTTTCCACAGTTGCTATAGGCTGAGTTTCCTTTCCTAACAAAATAAAAAAATTCCTTCCAGTAGCACCTTAGAGACCAACTATGTTGGCATGTTAATGGTATGAGCTTTCGTGTGCATGCACACTTGTTCAAATACTTCTTAGTGT